CACCACATGATGATATTCAGCACATTTGGTTCACTAATATGATTAGTTATGTAAAAAATAAAAACCTTGAATAAAATCTTTCTTCTTTATTACACAGTGTTACAGTTCACCCCGTGTTTGTTACTAACCCAGACTGCCACGTTCTCCTCCTTGAGTTTGAGACTAGTTTGTATCACAGTTTGAACCCACCAGCTTAAAAAAGCTCTGAGATACAGACAGAAATGTTAAAGATGTTCCAGCTGTCCTCGGTCACTCCTGTCATTTCATTACTGCTGGTACTGTCAACAGTATCTGTGATGTCATAATGACGTCTTAGCTCTGATTGGTCCCCGGGGAGCGGACACAGAAGACAGATCAGCTGTCTGTGGGGACGGCTTGACGATCACTCTTTCACCGTTTCACCGAGCAGATGTTCAATTTTCAATCTTCATCTCAGCACAAAGAGAAATATTGATCAAGTTCTACACTGCTGGTTTTTATTATTAAAGATAATCTTAACAGGGAACATACACAGTGACAAATATAATTATGTTTTTTCTAATTTAACCTTTATTTAACCAGGAGAGATCCACAGTTTCACAAAGTGGGTCAGACAATTAAAAAAAACACATCAGGTGTCAGATAAAACGATGCTGAGGAGGCTAAAATAAGATGAGAGAGAAGCAGAATTTAAAGGTGATTTAATCTTATTTTCTGCATAAACTCAGACTTCAGTGGGTAAAAAGTGTTGTTGAAATAGAACAAACGGTTTGAGACGCATCAGAGGAGTCTGCTGCTGTGGTCCACATTAGTGACAGCAGACCTCCAGCCTCGGGCCTCACACTGTGTCCAGTTGTGTGGTACGAGAGTGTGATGGAGAGAAGAAGAGGAGGAGGAGGAGGAGTGGGGGAGGAGTGGGGGAGGGTCTGAAACTCTGCTTCAGCGTCAAATGATCTGCAGGAAGCTGCAACACAACAAATTAATCCGACACAAGAAGAGAAACAAACATCAACATGACGTTTTATTTCCTCAAAGTGAAACACTGCTTTACAAATTAAAACAGGATGTGAAATATTCAACTGACAAACAGGGTGAAAACGTTTAGTCAGTTATCTAAATTAGTGCTGCACGATTAATCCAGATGTCGTCCTGTGCGATTACATAACTGCAAACGGGTTTGATTTAATGAAACAAACAACGTAGTGCTGATAGTGCGACACGTTGGTCTCTGTGTGCTGCAGCCTGCTCATAATCCAGAGCACACGAGTGTCAGAGTCAAGACTACAACCGACCACAAGTACATACAAGTCCCACAAGCTGCAGTGCACCAATCACAGCAGAGTTTCTGTTGTGTTTTAAAAAGCTGTGGCAACATCTGTATTTCTGTACTGGTGGCCAAAAAAACTTCTTCTGATGCTCGTTGAACTCAAGTTCAGTGATACAGTTTTCAAAATGTCGACTGTTTCGTTTCTGAAACCTGAAACCTGAAACCTTTAATAGCTTCAGACTCTCAGATGTGACACTGTGCTGCTGGTCTTAGTTTCATCTGACAGTAAACCAGCAAAGCATTTTTAAGACCAGTAATATGGAGAGCAGGACATTTACTGGAGACCAGGAGATGTGGTGACCAGGACCCTTACTGGAGACCAGGAGATGTGGAGACGGGACCCTTACTGGAGACCAGGAGATGTGGAGACCAAGACCCTTACTGGAGACCTGGAGATGTGGAGACCAAGACCCTTACTGGAGACCTGGAGATGTGGAGACCAAGACCCTTACTGGAGACCAGGAGATGTGGAGACCAGGACCCTTACTGGAGACCAGGAGATGTGGAGACCAGGACCCTTACTGGAGACCAGGAGATGTGGAGACCAGGAGCCTTACTGGAGACCAGGAGATGTGGAGACAGGAGCCTTACTGGAGACCAGGAGATGTGGTGACCAGGAGCCTTACTGGAGACCAGGAGATGTGGTGACGGGGACCCTTACTGGAGACCAGGAGATATGGTGACGGGGACCCTTACTGAAGACCAGGAGATGTGGAGACCAGGACCCTTACTGGAGACCAGGAGATGTGGTGAAGGGGACCCTTACTGGAGAACAGGAGATGTGGAGACCAGGACCCTTACTGAAGACCAGTAGATGTGGTGAAGGGGACCCTTACTGGAGAACAGGAGATGTGGTGACGGGGACCCTTACTGGAGACCAGGAGATGTGGAGTCGGGAGCCTTACTGGAGACCAGGAGATGTGGAGACGGGAGCCTTACTGGAGACCAGGAGATGTGGTGACGGGGACCCTTACTGGAGACCAGGAGATGTGGAGACGGGAGCCTTACTGGAGACCAGGAGATGTGGAGACGGGAGCCTTACTGGAGACCAGGAGATGTGGAGACGGGAGCCTTACTGGAGACCAGGAGATGTGGTGACCAGGAGCCTTACTGGAGACCAGGAGATGTGGTGACCAGGAGCCTTACTGGAGACCAGGAGATGTGGAGACGGGACCCTTACTGGAGACCAGGAGATGTGGTGAGGGGGACCCTTACTGGAGACCAGGAGATGTGGAGACCAGGACCCTTACTGGAGACCAGGAGATGTGGTGAAGGGGACCCTTACTGGAGAACAGGAGATGTGGAGACCAGGACCCTTACTGGAGACCAGGAGATGTGGTGAAGGGGACCCTTACTGGAGAACAGGAGATGTGGTGACGGGGACCCTTACTGGAGACCAGGAGATGTGGAGACCAGGACCCTTACTGGAGACCAGGAGATGTGGAGACCAGGACCCTTACTGGAGACCAGGAGATGTGGAGACCAGGACCCTTACTGGAGACCAGGAGATGTGGAGACAGGAGCCTTACTGGAGACCAGGAGATGTGGTGAAGGGGACCCTTACTGGAGAACAGGAGATGTGGTGACGGGGACCCTTACTGGAGACCAGGAGATGTGAAGACCAGGACCCTTACTGGAGACCAGGAGATGTGGAGACCAAGACCCTTACTGGAGACCAGGAGATGTGGAGACGGGAGCCTTACTGGAGACCAGGAGATGTGGTGACGGGGACCCTTACTGAAGACGAGGAGATGTGGAGATGGGACCCTTACTGGAGACCAGGAGATGTGGTGATGGGGACCCTTACTGGAGACCAGGAGATGTGGAGACCAGGACCCTTACTGGAGACCAGGAGATGTGGTGAAGGGGACCCTTACTGGAGAACAGGAGATGTGGAGACCAGGACCCTTACTGGAGACCAGGAGATGTGGTGAAGGGGACCCTTACTGGAGAACAGGAGATGTGGTGACGGGGACCCTTACTGGAGACCAGGAGATGTGGAGACCAGCACCCTTACTGGAGACCAGGAGATGTGGTGACGGGGACCCTTACTGGAGAACAGGAGATGTGGAGACCAGGACCCTTACTGGAGACCAGGAGATGTGGTGAAGGGGACCCTTACTGGAGAACAGGAGATGTGGTGACGGGGACCCTTACTGGAGACCAGGAGATGTGGAGACGGGAGCCTTACTGGAGACCAGGAGATGTGGAGACGGGAGCCTTACTGGAGACCAGGAGATGTGGTGACCAGGAGCCTTACTGGAGACCAGGAGATGTGGTGACGGGGACCCTTACTGGAGACCAGGAGATGTGGTGACGGGGACCCTTACTGGAGACCAGGAGATGTGGAGACCAGGACCCTTACTGAAGACCAGTAGATGTGGTGAAGGGGACCCTTACTGGAGAACAGGAGATGTGGTGACGGGGACCCTTACTGGAGACCAGGAGATGTGGAGTCAGGAGCCTTACTGGAGACCAGGAGATGTGGAGACGGGAGCCTTACTGGAGACCAGGAGATGTGGTGACGGGGACCCTTACTGGAGACCAGGAGATGTGGAGACGGGAGCCTTACTGGAGACCAGGAGATGTGGAGACGGGAGCCTTACTGGAGACCAGGAGATGTGGTGACCAGGAGCCTTACTGGATACCAGGAGATGTGGTGACCAGGAGCCTTACTGGAGACCAGGAGATGTGGAGACGGGACCCTTACTGGAGACCAGGAGATGTGGTGAGGGGGACCCTTACTGGAGACCAGGAGATGTGGAGACCAGGACCCTTACTGGAGACCAGGAGATGTGGTGAAGGGGACCCTTACTGGAGAACAGGAGATGTGGAGACCAGGACCCTTACTGGAGACCAGGAGATGTGGAGACGGGAGCCTTACTGGAGATGAGACGTGGTCAATATAAAGACGTTTCAGAAAAGGACTAACAGACTTTTTACAAATTTCATAAACAATAATAAACCTTTGCTCATTTCAGTACTCTGAAAACCTGACTAAGTGTGTAACTGCCCCGGGGCCCTGGACCCTGAGGGGCCCTAATAACCCCTGCTTTCTTATTTGAGTTTATATTGTGCTCCTGCATTGCATGTTATATATAATAAAAGACTGGTTGAACCGAACCTAATTGGAGCTCAAAGGACACACATGGTGGGGGCCATCAGGAGCCCAACAAATGTTTCCCTCGGGGCCCCTCACACATTAATCCAGAGTACACTCGGGGGAGTTACTGGTACATGATATATACTGCTGTGTTTTATTGTGCCAGGAGACTTTGTTTCCTCTTATAAAATATAGAATAACCGCAGACTGGTACTTTAAGTGACCTGTTCGTCTCTACACACACCTGTCCAGTGTTTTGGACCTTTGTGGCTACCATAGAACATGGAATATATGGGCACTTTCTTGCCCTCGACTGAGCCTGGCAGACAGTAACCCCTTCTGTAAATACACAGTGATTAAACACAGCTGTAACATTAGCAGGTTTCCTACAGCAGCACTGAGGACAAGGTTTCCTGCACAGTGACAGTGCTGCTGCTGCTCTCTCTCTCTCCCTGTCTGTCTAATGCTTGCTCGCCCAGTGTGCAGCCGACCGAGACAGACCCTCCCTCTCTCTCTCTCTCTCTCCTCTCTCTCCCTCTCTCTCTCTCTCTCCCTCCCTCCCTCTCTCTTTCTTTCAGCAGTACAGTCCCGAGGTCGGACGCTCGCTTTTCTTTTGGAGATTCACTTCTTTCCCTCCTCTCTGTCGCTTCCCCTCCATCTGTTTGTTGTCCTTTTCTTTTCTGCTGTGGACAGACGGACGCTCTTCATCATCTCCACCACCTCCACATCATCATCCTCCAGCTGTGGGACTGTGTGTCGGGCAGACGGCGGGATGCTTTCCACCGGATAGACCAACAGAAAGTTGTAGTGTGTGTGTGTGTGTGTGTTTCTGTGTGTCCTATAGTGTGACTCTGATTGGTTGATTGATTCCAACATGGTGAGACTCGGAAGTTAACGTCTCACTCATGAATTCTTACCATCGTCACCATAGTGACCGGCGACCTTGGCGGCAGCGGCGGTTTCCACATTATGTTTTGAAACTTTAAAGTTCATTATATATATATACACATATATATATATAGAAAGGTTGTTACCATAGTAACCAGCATGCAGGTGTCCATAGCGTGTAACGTGGGTGGGGGCGGCGGAGGTGGAGGTGGGGTCAGCGAGCACCAGCTGAAGGAGCGGCGTGTGGCGTTGAACACCAGCAATGCCCCCCCCTGTCAGTCAAAGGTCAGGGCGGAGCCGGCGAACAGGCACACCCTCTTAGGCCACGCCCACATGAAGGAGGCCCTCGGTCGTCATAGCAACATGAAGTACAGGTGAGCGTGAGACTGACACAGTGAGACGGTCACATGACCAGACAGGTGCAGTGAGTTGATTCAGGGTCGTGTTTCATGTTTGTTACAGTATATGTGTGTGTGTGTGTGTGTGTGTGTGTGTATTTTCCGTTGCACCTGGTCACATTGTTTGTGAGCGAGCAGGGAAACCGTGTGGAACGCTGCCACATCTGACGGCTCAGAGCCATCGATCAGCTCTCGGGTATAGATTTTACATTGATGGTTGGTGTGTCTGTTTAACCTGAGACAGTTTGAATATTGATGACTCAGGTTAAATATTCATGGTCTGAACTCAGATATTGATACTCGGTCTGTAAGAGACTCGGTGATATTGATGACCTGGTTCCACACATGATGACTGAATATTGACCTGGATTAAATATTTATGACTTGATCTTGGACTTGGATCTAAATATCAAGGACTTCAGTTTGGACTGGGACATACTGTAAATGTTGACGACTCGGACTCAATCATCACTGACCTGAGACTCGGACATGAACATCTAGGATTATGACTTGTACCCAGACAAGAATATCAATAATTTGGACTTGGACAATTATGACTCGGACTCTGGCGTCAACATCCATGACCTGGACTTGAACGATGACAAGAAAAATGTATGTATAGGACTCTTGTATGAATACTGATATCTTAGACTTGGAATTCGACTACAATGACTTGGTTGGACTGGGACATGAATATCAAGGACTTGGACTCGAACATGAATGTCCACGACATGGGTTTCATAAAACTCATATACTGATCCAGTCTGACACTGTTAGAGACTCGGGACTCAAAATGTACATGGATTAAATTTTGATGACTTGGACTTGGACTGGGACATGAATATCAAGGACTTCAGTTTGGACTGTGACATAAATGTTAACATCTTAGACTGAATCATAACTGACTTGAGACTCGGACATGAACATCTAAGAATATGACTCGGACTCTGGCATTAACTTCCATGACTTGGACTTGAACGATGACAAGAAAAATGTATGTATAGGACTCTCTTATAAATACTGATATCTTGGACTTGGAATTCGACATGACTATCAATGACTTGGTCAGACTCGGATGTGAATATCAAGGACCTGGACTGGAACATGACTGTCCACAATGTGGGTTTCATAGATAGAAAAATGAATGTATAGGACTCTCGCATAAATACTGATATCTTGAAATTAGAATTTGACAGGTCTATCAATGACTTGGTCGGACTCGTTTATGAATATCGAGGACTTGGACTCACGACGTGCGTTTCATAAATAGATTTTTAGATGTCAGAACTCAGATTTTGATCCAGTCTGAGACTGTTAGAGACTCAGGACTCAGTAACCCTGATGACTCAAAATCTACATGGATTAAATACTGATGACTTGGACTTGGACTGGGAATGTTAACATCTACGACTTAATCATCACTGACCTGAGACTCGGACATTAACATCTCAGAATTTAACTTGTGCCCAGACAAGGATATCAATAACTTGGACTTGGACACGAACAATTATGACTCGCACTTTGGCATCAACATCCATGACTTGGACTTCAAATATGACCAGAAAAATTTATGACTAGGACTCTTTTAGTGATATCTTGGACTTGGAATGTAATGGACTTCAGTTTGGACTGTGACATAAATGTTAACGACGTTAATCATCACTGACCTGAGACTCGGACTAACTTGGACTTGGATGTAAATACTGAAGATTTGTACTTGGGCTCAGACCTAAATAGAAAAGACTCGGACTCTGTCCTGAATATTGACAACTGGGACTTGGACATGAATAATTGTGACTTGGGTTCTAGCGTCAACATCAGTGACTTGGTTTTGACAAGATTACCGCCGACGTGGACTCGGACCTGTAAACGGAGAACCTGGACTCAGATGAGGATACATGTTCTGGTGTGTCTGTCAGTGTGTGATGATGTTTTCCAGTCGACTCAGTCTTTGTTGGTTTAGTGTGGACGGAGGAACCAAAACAGACTGAAAGATGTTTTCATGTTTCCAGCTGATGTTAGGATGAACTTTTATCTGTCCGCTAAAATACAGTCGAATCATCAGCTGCTGGTATTTTTAGCCCATCAGACGGCCTGATGCTGCTTTTTCATTGTTTTTCATCCTGTTTTCTGCCGACTTTCACTTTGGTGTTTGTACTTTCTGTCAGACACACACGCAAAACAAACACGTGCATTCACACACATGTGGTACAGTATGAGGAAATGCCAGTTCAGTTGTTGGAGAGAAGACTGCTTTTATAGTTGATGATGTTGATGTTTGTGTGTGCGATCGTTCTTGGCTGTCTGACCTTTGACCGTTGCAGATTATTGAGTGAAAGGTCTTGATGAATATGTGTGTTAATTAAAGGCAGAGGTTTCATTAGACACTGGTCCAATCGCTCGCTGCCGATGTGTGATTGGTTGACGGATGACTGGTATGCGTGTACAGCGGGGCCACAAGATCTTTCTTTTTAATATTGTTTCTCTTAAATATAAAGCTCAGACTGAGACGTCTTTGTGCCATTTTCTATTCACTTTCTGTTCTATTGTATGAGGCTTTATTTTATTTGTCTTTATAAATAAAGGTATTTATCAGATCAAACAGTGTCGTGGTTTGAGGGCCCTCAAAGCGCCGCAGGGTTTGTGGATTTTGGGACATCAAACTAACTTCATTGATTCACTGATTAACTGATTGATTTGATTGTTCTGCAGGAATCTTGGGAAATCTGGCCTGAGAGTGTCCTGCTTAGGGCTGGGTGAGCGCTGCAACACACACAGTAACGCACACTTCCGTATATCCCACACAGCCAGTCAGTGATGCTCTTTCTCTTCTCACAGGAACATGGGTGACATTCGGCTCTCAGATCTCCGATGAGGTACAGTTAGTGTGTGTGTGTGTGTGTGTGCTGAACGCATGAACAAACAATTACATAACCACTACTAGAGGTTTCTGCACACATTAATGTGGGTTACTGCCTCTGTGCGTAGATGGCGGAGAGTGTGATGTCGGTGGCGTACGACAGCGGAGTGAACTTGTTCGACACAGCAGAGGTTTACGCCTCAGGGAGGTACAGTACAAACTGTCTGTCTGATCTTCACTGGGCTCGCTGGTTGATTTTTAGCCCACCGTTCAGGACCCACTGGAAACCAGGGTCTGGTCTGTAACAGTTAGAAAGAGTTGGGTCTAGATCTGCTCTATGAAAGGTGTCCTGAGATCACGTCTGTTGTGCCCTGCTCCTAAAGCCTTTCTGTAAATACATCAAGACGCTACAGAGCAGCAGCAGATCCACCAGAGCTGCTTCAAGTGGCAGCTGGAAAGTTTCATTTTGGAAAATTTCTTTTACTCAGACGACCTTTTCAGTGAAAGGAGCAAAGTCCTGGACCTCGCTACCTACACACTTAAAAAGTGCTGCAAACTTGTGAAGTCCTGGTTGGTTTAGCACTAAAACTTGTCCTCACGTCTAGTCCTCTGTCTCCTGTTAAGCCCAGTTCACGTTACACGATTTGCCGCTCGGCGACCGTCAGGCTGTGATCGGGAATAAATCAGGGGTTGATCGGCGGTCGCCAGTCGTTATGTGTGAACTACTCAACGACGCATCAAAACGGCTCCCCGACACATTTCTGACACATCGCCGACGTCTGCCAGATATCTGACACGCCAAATATCTGGAGGAGTCGGCCGACTCGACATCCACATCCAGCCAATGAGAGCAGGCGGCTGCTTTTTCACCGCAAAACGGGGTTTGGGGACCAGTGTCGGATGACAGAGTCGTTGTCAGCTCGCGTAGTGTGTGACCCCCTGTAATCAGTCATGTAGTGTGAACAGCACGGCCATCGGCCCACGCTGGAGGTCGTGTAGTCTGCACGAGCCTTTACTTGTGTGTTACTGCATCTTGAGATACTAATTTTACCTCCTTTTATCTTCTCTTGTGCTGTAACTGACTCTACTTGTACACGTTTTAGTGTTTTATCTCCATAAAGCCCTTCTAGGGACGGGTGTTGTGAACTGTTAAAAACACAATGTTACAGACATATTATTGCTGTTTTCAGTTGATCTGTGTAAGATGTATTGGTCCCTGCTGAGACAAACCGTTAAAAAATACATTTAAATGAAGCTAAAGCTGAAAACAGACGTGTACTTTCAGTTAAAATGTGTTATATTCAGTTGTCAAGATCTGGAGGACTAACGTCTCTGTCCGTCTGTCAGGGCAGAGACGACTCTGGGAAACATCCTGAAGAAGAAAGGATGGAGGTAAACAGCTGTTTCTCTTTCTCCACACAGTATTTATATACATAGATTAGGGTTTCTAAGCAGTTTGCTGCTAAAAATCTATAAATTCAACACATTACCAGCTTCTTGTTCAGTATTTTCCCGTACTGTAACCCCATTCTGAAGGAAATCTTAAATTAAAAGTTAGGTAGCTAGATGTTGGGGAGGACGAGGCCTCCACATCTATCAACATACTGTTTTTTGCGACTAACCCGGCGCAGTTTGTCGATACAGAAAGCGATAAATAAAGGAAACAACACATCATGTTAAGTTAGGTTTTAACAGAGAGAGGCAGCTTTCTCAGACTGTAGAGACACACAGCAGAGCGGTGACCCAGCAAACACTATCTGATAATAATAAGGAAGTGTTTTGTCTTGAAGATGTGACTCAGCAGTTTCTCCCTCCATCAGTCTCTCTCTCTGCGTCTCCTTCCTCACGTCCATTCCTCTTTTTAATCGTCTCTCCATCACGCCTCCTCCATCCCTCTCAGTAACTGATGGTGACGCCGCCACAATAATGCTGCATTAACTCTCTCTCTCTCTCTCTCTCTCGACCAGGAGGTCCAGCTACGTGGTGACCACTAAGATCTACTGGGGAGGACAGTGAGTGCTGCGTCCACACCGATCAGCAGGCTTTAAGTCTTTTCATATAAATATAACAGAAGCACATGTGTGCGTGTGTGTTAACGTGTTTGTGTGTCCACAGGGCGGAGACAGAGCGAGGGTTGTCACGGAAACACATCATCGAAGGTAACAACATTCAAGTTTAAAGAAAAGGCCTCACTCACGTCGCGTTTCTTATAACCTGTTCTCACTCCTCCAGTGGTCGGGGTGGATGGAGGACCAGAACTCTGAACCAGGAGACCGGCGTGTCAAACAAAATTAAATATTTTTATTTAATGACATAAGTTAACGTCAATGTTAACTGACCTATGTAGTTATTTTAATCCAAACCATGCTCTTTTCCTAACCTTAACCAAGTAGTTTTGTTGCCAAAACCCAACCAAACTGCGACGTTTGACGACTTTAATAATGTGCCGTTTCTAAATGGTGATGTTTTGAAACGCTAGCATTTTATTTTGAAAGTCTAACCGCATGTCGCATATTTATTGCTGCTAACTTGACCGTGGAGCCTTAAACGTCTAAAAATTCTGCTAAAGGGGTACCCAGGGCGTTAAAAATCAACGCCGAAGGGCTTTGACCAAACGTCGGGATGTTACGAGACTGAAGAGAGAATGTGTTGGTTTTTGATGCGACGAGTTTTATTAATAGTTTTTATTTTACAAATACACAAAATACAGATTTCCTGCTCACAGCGAAGTTGTGTGAAACAACTCGTTCTCTCAGACCCGTTGGCGTCGGACAGTAACGCACTGTGGAGCGACTTACCACACGAGACTTCTGTGTTGTAAGACGTTGTTAGCTAATAGTTTCAGTAACAATATCGTTTGCTGTCAGTGTTGAGGCGAGGGGGAATCGGATTGTGTGAGTAGCCAGAGAGAGTCTAGCTAACCATGAGGGGTATGATTGGATGTTTGTTAGCAAAGTCCTTATGGGCTAGTCATACCACTCGGCAGCCATCTTGGCAACACGACTAACAAGACCGGACTCCTATCTGAATGAATGGTGAGAGAGCCAGAACTGCACTTTCACTGGTCATCGGGACAGAAAAACTACATGAATAGAATCAGCAGTAAAATCTTATAAAAATCGCTGAAAGATGCGTCACTACTACCACCCGTGCAGTCGAAGTCAAATCGACCCTCACGACCCCCTTTGGCTGTTAAAAGCAGACGACTGGATTTCTAGCAGGAGGGGCGAGATAACCGCCCTTTTCGGCGTTACGGGCTTTTCCCCATAGAGTTGTATGGAGGATGTGATTAATCCTCTATAAAACGTCTCCGTTGTTAATGAAAAGCACCCTGGGAGTCCAGTCCACTCTCTTTCCCAGGTCGTCAACTATCTTTACATATACTCCGGTCACCTATGAAGGTTCAGTTTTTCACCATCTCCTTACTCAGACTTTTCGGTTATTTAAAGTGCTTTTAGCGTTGAACAGTGAATGGGCTTCCCAGAGTGTAGTGATTTGACGCTCTGGGAGTTAGAACGGGCTGGAAAGCGGAAAGTGGCGTCGTATAAAGTGTGAGAAAGCGTGCGCAGGGAGGTGGTCGTGGTGGACAAACACTTTAACTGTAGTCCATGTCCTGTGTGAAACCTGAAGTCAACAGCTTATTTATTTAAAGTTATTATGTTTGAGACATCACAGATCTTACTCTACACAGCGTGCTTATTTTATCTTTTCCCAAACCAAGTGGTGTCAAAACCTGAACAAACTTCACCGTTTCACAACATTAGCAACGTGTTGAAAAGGCGTTTCAAAATGCTGGTTTATGATGACCTGGGAATGAGACCAGGTCTGGGGAGTCGTAGCCTTCTTCAGTTTTTATATTTTTAACATGGTCGTTCTTTTGTTGTGTTGATCAGAAACTGACTATGAATAAGTTCTGAGGGACACATTTGTCCTCTGTCAGGGAGGCAGGTCACTTTCACAGTAATTAAGCTTTAATAGCACGAGTTATCATCTGACTGTTTAACCCTCGGCCATCTGATCTGACGCTGAGAGGAAGACCTGCAGACAAAACTCAGGGTTAAATTAGAGTGTGCTCTTTCAATGTGAGAGCATGACTTATTGATTTCACGTTTAGATATTGTAATGCTCTCCTCAGAGCCTGCCCTCACGCTCAGGCTGCTTCTGGTAAAATGTTTTTTGTGCCATAACGCTGTTGAAATCAGGCCAGGTGTAGTGCTGACGAACGAACGAAGCATCTGAACGAACGCTGCATGTTTGTCCAGTAAAAGAATACTCGAACGTGTTGTTATTTACAGTCAGAGAGACGGTAATGAACATTCATCTGTGTAAATATTGGGACGGCCGACAACCTTAAAGCCACGTTGGTGTTTTAAATATCTCATTTGTTATTAGAGCCTGATGACTAATTCCACTCTGACACTTTATTTGCTAGATTGATGTAAATATATAAACACAGGAATCCAGATCCTCCTCTGAGCGAGCGTAGTCTGATTAGATCCGGAGACTGATCACTCACACTCTCTCTGTAACACCCTCAGAGTCGTCCGTGTCCTCTGTCAGTTGGCGGAGGTCGTCCAGGCTTTAAGAGGCTCAGTCACACGAGACTGGATTAGGAGTTTCACGCACACACACACACACACACACACAGATCAGCGTGCAGCGTCAATCATCGGCGCTGCTGAAAGCTGCTAACAGCTCTGTTGACTTAAATCACTCTGTGAAATGCTAAACGCTAAATTTAACCCACAAAGAGTCTCTGATCCTGATACAACAACATCTGCACCCTCTGCAAACGTGTACTTTTACTGACGTGCTGTATTTAAGTACACATTTTAGGTAGTTGTACTTTACTTGAGTGTTTCCCTTTTCACCACCTCTCAGAGGGAAATGCACTTTTCACTCCACTTATCTGACATACAGAATCAGATCCATGACAAGTCGTCTGTTGTTACATAATTAAAAAATGTTGTGATGGTGCCGTGGATTTAAGTGACAGATTAATACAATTGAACAGGAAACTGTCCCGCTCTTATATAACACGCTCAGCAGAGCAGCAAACTGACAAAGGACTGTAGGCTCACATGGTCGTCTCTGTGGACGAGCAGGCTAATATCTGCAATAAAAGAGGCAAACTAACTAAACTAAAACAAATCATATCTAACCAAACACGGCTTCTCCCCCTCCCTGTTCGCTGCTCTTTGTCCTGGGTGTCCTCACGGTTAATTATTTTCTCTTTAAAGGCGTAGAGAGCGAGCGCTTACCTGAACGCCACAGGCTGCTGGAAACACCTGTAAGCTCAACACACAGCAGCTCGTTCAAAGACACACATCCCAAAGTGTTATATACAGAGCAGATATCAATTTTAAATGAACACATATGAACATACTGAAATGCAGATTCGTCTTATTTGCTCCGATCACAACGAGGCAGCATAACAACAGTATAATGTCTGACATTTACTCTGTTATGCCCACGGCGCTGAGAGTTAGCATGTTAGCATGATGCTGCTCTGTATAAACAGAACCACGTGCTCGTTCCGGTATAATTGGTCTTCACGGTGACTCCGTCTGGTGTTAAGTGTGATTATCTTTCACACTCTCTGTTCGTCCTCCACAAGGTCGACCAGGCGTCCTGATGACAGAGCTGTCAGCTCAGAAACACAACAAAACACAGCCAACTATATTTAGCCTGAAACAACAGAAAGAACAGCGGTTTATTCCTGTCAGCCGTTTTTCACAATAAACACAGAGAGTTCCTCGCAGGCGCAGGAGCTGTCAGATGGAGCGGTAACGAGGAACGTTGGGAGGAAACGAATCACTCGTTCATGTGCAGAGTGATGCATCTGTTACACAGATTCCCATCTCAGCTGGGGCGTCAGGTTTGAGATGACTGCGGCCGACTTGATAGTCTAACGTGAGCTGCATGCAGCTGCAGGGATATAAAACACGTCGGGCACATTCAGCCTCCTGTAGAGTGCGTGAGCTCAGAACAAGGACTGATCAGGCAAAAGTTTGTTCCCACTTCGAGAAAATCAACTGCGGCCGGCAGACTCAGACCTTTCATAAGTCCAGCGTGCATAACATTAAGTCAGACACACCTGATGATTTAACTTCAGCTGAAGGATTCAATTTATAACTTCACTGAACACAATGAAAACAACAACCACAGCCAGCAGGCAGACTGCAGACGGTCTCTTTCTAGTTGTTTTGCATCTCTGACATCATTTAGCACGTCTCTGTAGCCATGTGGTGTCTCTTCTTAGACTGCGTTCAGACTCCAGCCAAAGTGTTTCCAGTTCGGATCTGAGGCCCCTTTCACATGTGGTCCAAGTCAGATCCAGGTCAGATTGTTTGAACTGTGACTTCAGCCTGGTCACTCAGATGGGGGTTTAATGCGACTTTCCCCGTCAGGAAACCAGGAGAGGGTGATGAAATACGGGAAGGTTACCAAGTAGGAGCTAACCAGAGGTTGTGGCGCCTTGTTTACTTCTGCACAACAGCGTGTGACGTCGTGTCACTTTCAGGCCGTGAACACTTCAGTCTGATATGGGCCACATTTAAACTAATATGTCATCTGTCAATCAAATACATCGGAGCATTAAGGCAGCCGTACAAGCTTTCTTGTTCTCAGAGTACAACACTGTCTTAATGTTCTGCTTGTAAGACATTTCAAATATAGTGAAGGGTAGTTTAAAGCTACGGAGGCCCGTAAGGACCAAATAGCCAACGAGGTACAGCACAAACAGTGGAGATTGACAGCTGCTGTTTGTCCTGAATTTTGTCCTTGAGGGCTGAAAATACCACAGCTATCTGAAATAGAGGATTTGTGTGTGTTGTAGGTCTGCGTGGATCTCTCTCCAGGTTACAGCTGGATTACGTGGACATCGTCTTCGCCAACAGGAGTGACATCAACGCACCGATGGAGGGTCAGACACACGCACACATAGCAAACAACGATCATCTCAACCTAGCAGCCCTTCAGCGATCCTCTAAAAGTTCTCTTGTACTTGACAGACTAATATTATTATGTGATATTTCTAAGATTAAATTAAGTAAATTACAGGCGCTGACTCAGTGGAACAAACTTGCAGGAGTTTGTTTTTGTTCTTTTCATTAACATGTAAAGAAACAACTTTTCCAGCGTGGTTTAATAAAGTTTTATAATTCAAAATGTGTCTCAGTCCCTCCTCCCTGTCTAAGGAGAGACACGGCGCTGTCATTAACACCTTTGCTGTCACACAATTTAAGCACAATGCATGATGGTACATACGTCTTGGTCAGTGACCACCGTCTGTAAACTAATTTTCACAATGCATGATGGGATTTCTTTGAGTCAAATATATAGATTTTAAAAATTCAGGCATCGTTACAAAATGGTGAGCTCACTTTAAAGTGAGCAGTGAGCGTTTTTCCTGTTTGTGTTTACAGAAGTCGTTCGTGCGATGACCTTTGTGATCGATCAGGGCCTCGCCATGTACTGGGGAACGTCACGCTGGAACGCCGTGGAGATCATGGTAGGACAGAACACACAACCACAGCAGAAACACAGTAGAAATACAGTAGAAACAGAGTAGAACATCAATAGAACCTCTGCAGAAACACAGTAGAAAGAGATTAAAAATACAGTAGAACCTCAGCAGAAAAACAGTAGAAATACAGTAGAGGCAGAGTAGAACCTCTGCAGAACCTCTGCAGAAACACAGTAGAAAGAGATTAAAAACACAGTAGAACCTCAGTAGAACCTCAGTAGAACCTCAGCAGAAAAATAGTATAAATAAAGTAGAGACAGAGTAGAACCTCGGCAGAACCTCTGCAGAAACACAGTAGAAACAGATTAAAAACACAGTAGAACCTCCGCAGAAAAACTGTAGAAACAGAATAGAACATCAGTAGACCCTCTGCAGAAACAGATCAGAAACACAGTAGAAACAAAGTAGAACCTCTGCAGAAACACAGTAGAAAAAGAGTAGAAACAGAATAGAACATCAGTAGAACCTCGGCAGAAACACAGCAGACCCTCTGCAGAAACACAGTAGAACCTCAGTAGAACCTCGGCAGAAAAACTGTAGAAATACAGTAGAAACAAGTAGAACCTCTGCAGAAACAGAGTAGAACATCAGTAGACCCTCTGCAGAAACACAGTAGAAACAAAGTAGAACCTCTGCAGAAACACAGTAGAAAAAGAGTAGAAACAGAATAGAACATCAGTAGAACCTCTGCAGAAACACAGTAGAAAGAGAGTAGAACATCAGTAAAACACAGCAAACAGTAAAAAAAAATAGTAGAAACAGAATAGAACATCAGTAAAACCTCTGCAGAAACACAGCAAACTGTAGAAAAAAAGAGTAGAAACAGAATAGAACCTAAGTAGAATCACAGTAGCGTTGTTACAAGTGTGTGTAATTAAAAACTGTGAGAGACCTTCAGACGGGGCCAGGGGCCTAACGGGCCCTCACTCGCACACTTTATAGTGTTGGATGTGACTTAAACTTCCTTCAGTTATAATCTTTAATGAAACACTGACTACAGTAAATAATAAATAAATACAAATACAATCATAAAACAATCCCACAGCTGGGTAACATCAACACGTGCTGATGACCTTCAGAGCTTCTTACTAAGGCCTCCTATGTTTGTGAATATGATCTTTGCTCTTATCCAGCCTGGGTCCAGGTGCTATCAACATTATGTGAGATTCCTAAAAGGCTCCTTTGCCTCTCGTTCAGAAGTCTAATTAATTCCTTCATCCTAACTTCCCCTACGGCCCATTAGCAGCACTGCCTGACTGGCCGGGTGGGTGAGTTCTTACAAACTGTGAAGGTCGCAGCCTGAGAAAAACAACGACAGGCTGATAGCAAAAAGACTGCAGTGTACTTTTAAAGGTATCATAGACATGTTGTACAGTTTTATTTTATTGTACAAATGTTCTCTGTCTCTCTGTCTCACCTGTCTCACCTGTCTCACCTGTCTCATGTCAGGAGGCGTACTCTGTGGCCCGGCAGTTTAACCTGGTTCCTCCGGTGTGTGAACAGTCCGAGTATCATTACTTCCAGAGAGACAAAGTGGAGCTGCACCTGCCTGAACTTTACCACAAGATAGGTACAAAATACATGTTAGAGGTACAAAGTACACACGTGTTAGAGGTACAAAGTACACACATGTTAGTACTATGAGTATCCTGGTTGTTTTATGGTTACTCGGAGTATTCAGGATAGTATTTAGGGCGTCACTAGAACTTTGCACAATGAACATTTTTCATGTGAAACTTCACATTTAAATAAAAGGAGTCCACTTTCTTAAAATTATAAGTTAGGTATTTAATTGAAATAGGGCGATGATAGGTGGTTGTTACTAGAGTACTGTAGTTTCTAGGGTGTCTCTACATTGTTGGCCAGTAATATTTTGTTGGTTTTTATATTCGCTCATCAGTGTGGTTGCCATTTTTTTCTTGTCGTTGTTTTATGGTGTTTTATTAATAATTACTGCTTTTTATAGATATAGTGTTTTCTTAGTGGTGTTGGTGTTAAGTTTCTATTGTTTTATCTCTGATATATTATAAATGCAGTTGTCATGTGTGTAAACCAGACAGCATTTCTGTTGAGCTAGGCTAACAGTTCCCCCCTGCTTCCAGTCTTTGTGCTAAGCTAAGCTAAGCTAAGCTAAGCTAAGCTAAGCCAACCCATTCTCACTCCCGACTCGTCACATATGGACGCTTGATTAAAACCCCTCGGCATCGCTAGCTAACAGCCTGGGTACCCTTTAGTGTTTTTCAACGTTTAGGGCTCGGCAGTTAAGTTAGCAACAACAAATATGCAAAATCTGGACTTTAAAATAAAAGTACTTCACAACGTTGTGAAACTTCGCCATTTGGTTAGGATCAGGCACCAAGAGTACTTGGTGAGGTTTAGGAAAAGATCAGGGTTGGGGTTAAAATGTCTGTTACGTAAGTCAGTTAATTTACGTAAGTTAAGTTACATTACTAACTACTAAATTACGCAAACTACGTAACCTATGTAAAAATAAAATACAATGTAAATAAAAATATTTAATTTAGACTTTTTGTTTCACATGGGAAACGAACACCGTTATCCATCCATCGCAACCACCTCCTCACTCTTTCCTGTTACACCTCATATACCAACCTTTCCTCAGCGAGTTGCTAACTGACGCTAACGGGTCTTGACCCTGTGTCAATGAGTGATGAGTTGGGAGTGAGAACAAAAGGATTGCATCTTTTACTGTGTCTTTAAATAAGACGGTGAGACCCAGCTGAGGTCTGTGGGGACAGCAGCTGTTCAGGTCCAGGTCTAAATATAGGTCGGGTTAAATGAAGTGGCTCAACATGAGGTCTGTGTGTCCGTCAGGTGTCGGAGCCATGACCTGGTCTCCGTTAGCCTGCGGCCTGCTGACGGGGAAGTACAACGAGGGAGTCCCCGAGAGCTCCAGAGCCGCCATGAAGGTCCTCACACACACACACACACACACCACAATAATCAGTGGTGCACAAACATCATCCATCTGCAGGCCTGCAGGATGAGAGACCATCTGTTACCGTGCTGATCAATACGCTGTGTGTGTGTGTGTGTGTGTGTGTCTGCAGGGGTATGCGTGGCTGAAGGAGCGTCTCTGCAGTGATGAGGGGAAGAAGCAGCTCAGTAAAATCAAAGAGCTCCACCTGCTGGCCGACAGGCTGAAGTGCACTGCTGCTCAGCTGGCTATAGGTACACCAACCGTCTGTTTGACTTCCTGTGTGACTTCCTGTCTGTGGCTCTTAGCTCCATGCCCATTGGTTCCTGGTGAAGATGTAATTCATGTTTAAAAAGTCCTCAAACAGCTGTTCTCTGTAGTTTCTATCAGACAAACAGGAGGAAGTAGTGCATCTCTTGGGTGTTTGGGACAACGGGAGTCAAAATAAACTACCGTGTGTGTGTTCATGGTGATGAAGGAACATGTGACCCAGTGCAGCGGTGAGGCTCACTGAGAGGTTTAATGGTTTCTATGGTTCAGAGTAAGAAGAGGTATCAGGCTGAGAGAGACGGGCAGGGTTAAAGACGTGTTCACTGCTGGCTTTGGTCTGAACAAAATATCATCAGGCTCCCACTTTGATTATTTTTTTGATTAAACTTTAAACTGTTTTTTCTCGTCTGCTGATGACGTCTTTAAACGATTTACTGTTCATAATGTCAGTTTAACAATACATCCTGAAAGTTCTCACGTGAGCTTTTGAACTTCTGTTTCAGTAACTCAAAAGTTTGATTTTCAGATTTTCTAAAGAACGTCCTGATTTCCTGTCTCAACTGTTTGCTGTGCTGATCTTTCTTTCTCTCTCAGCTTGGTGTCTACGTAGTGAAGGTGTCAGCTCGGTTCTTCTGGGAGTGTCCAACACAGAGCAGCTGCTGGAGAACCTCGGTTCTATCAGGGTAACAGAGTGTTACTGAAACAGACATTGTGTGTGTGGCCATGCAGTCGATCCAAACCCAAGATTGGTGGTTCAAAACCACCAATAAAAACTCTTCTCTCTTTTTGATTAGTAAAACTTTTTGATTAGTAAAACTTTTTGACTAGTAAAAAGTAAAAAGACTTGTAAAACTTTTTGACTTGTAAAAAGTAAAAAGACTTTGACTTGTAAAATTATTTGACTTGTAAAACTTTTTGACTAGTAAAAGTTTTGACTTGTAAAAAGTAAAAAAACTTTGACTTGTAAAATTTTTTGACTTGTAAAACTTTTTGACTTGTAAAACTTTGACTTGTAAAAAGTAAAAAGACTTTGACTTGTAAAATTTTTGACTTGTAAAACTTTTTGACTTGTAAAAAGTAAAAAGACTTTGACTTGTAAAATTTTTTGACTTGTAAAACTTTTTGACTAGTAAAAGTTTTGGCTTGTAAAACTTTTTTGACATTGTGGACCATGAAGTCAATCCAAACCATTGATGGGTCAAGGCCACTAATTAAAACTCATCCCTCGACCGTTTTTGACTCACAAAACTTTTTGATTTGCAATCAAAGGGGATGGATTTGCAATCAAAGCTTTAAGAGGACTGCTTATTTTTAATTACAAACATAATTTTCTATTTCAGTGTGAGAAATATGCTCGCAAAACAGTTTTTTTTAAAACACACAAAAATACTTTCATATCATTAAAATTAATATTAAAAAAAAGATAAAGATACCAATGCATTGTTATTTGTGTTTCCTCTGTGTTTATTTTAATCAAATGAAAAACAAATGACCCAGCTTTTTGTCTTTAAAAACTGGATGAATAGTTTTTTATTGTGATATGAGGTCTTCACGCCACATTAAAAATGACAACACAGGAAAGTATGTGAAGGTGTGAACACGAAAAATACCTGAAAAATAAATACATGTAACAACATGTATTTAGCTTTTTTCTTTGTTTGATTTGTATTATTTTGAATCTGCATAATTATCTGATTACATTGAAGTTTAAAATGTATAAAAACAATAAATTGCATCCTTGTTGGTTGTTTCACATCACACAACATTTTCTTATCTTTCCTCAGTCAGGGACATGAACTTTGTCAGACTGATCACTTCAGACAGCAGGTTCATTAATGATCGATTATCAGAACCTGATAATCTAAATTATTGTTATTATTTTGTAACAGTCAACTTTAAACAACAAACCAGCAGACAAACTACCTCAACCTGTCAGATACTTTGATTTGTTTGTCAGAGAGAAAGTTTGTAGGAAACATTTCAGTCAGACCTTCATGCATCGAAACGTCTTTACAATTAATCAATCAAGTGAAGTCACCTGAAACAATCAGATTTTCATTATATGAAAAAAGAAACATCCCTTAAATGAGACCAACAGCATGTTGTAAAGATCAGTATTATAGATAGGTAGATATATTAAAGACTTTCTCTTCCTGTTTTTCAGGTTCTGTCTCAGCTGACTCCGCCCCTCATTGCAGAGATGGACGCGTTACTCGGCAACAAGCCGCGAAACGGAAAGAAGGAGGCAAGGAGCTGAGGAGGAGAAGGAGAAAGACAAAGTAATAAAATGATCAGAAAACTGAGAGTACAAGAAGAAAGGATGAACTCTGAGGAGACAAGGAAGGAGATAAGGGAATAAGGAAGAAGACAAGGACACAAGGAAGGACATCTGGAATAATAAACAATATTTATTCTTCAGGGACGACCACATCTTTGTCCTTGTGGAGAAGGAGACAGCAGAGAGACTTCGGTTCCTTCAGATGATCAGAAAAATATCAGAAATATTTATTCTTATATTAATCCTGAGACTCCGGCAAAGAACCACCATCTGAAGCCATCAATAATCATAATCCTCAGGCTGCTGGATTATGAACGTTTTTTTTAAAGTTTATCCATGAGCGCATGTTAGAGTTTAGTCTCATGATTACAGTTCAATACGCATCCAATAATCGATAATTAATCAGATTCAAAGAAGAAAAAGGCAGCTGTCTTTCTGTACGAGGCTCTGAACTCTCCTGTATTCTCTGACTGCAGTATATTTACTATAAACTATAAATCTATATTTTATGAATGTAGTTCCTGTAGTCTTTAGATTCAGGCCCAGTGGTGCTCAACCTGAGGGGTTTGGACCTTTTAGCGGTCATCAACTCGTCACACAAATCCGTGATTCATGTTGAAAGTTGGAAATTATTTCTTTCCAACACATTCTCACTCATTACATATGGACACTTGGTCAAGACCCCTTGAGCCCTGGGGTTGGTTTTTGACATGTAGGGCTCCGTGGTCAAGTTAACCACTAAAACTACTAAGTTAGGTTTAGGAAAAGATCATGTTTTGGGTTAAAATTACTTACTTGCTTGACATCACTTATGCATGTCAAGTAAAGTTATTTGCGTATTTAACACATTCAATGTCGACTTCTTGTTGCACATGAGAAACGAACACCGGCCTTCTGGATGAAAGTCCGGTTTCTGGCCCACCGCTCACCCCAACCACCTCCTTACTCAGACTTATATATACTTATTATATTAAATATCCTATACCTACCTAGTGTACAAAAATGACGCTACCGGTCTTCACCCAGTGTTACACAAAGAATGAGAACGGGTTGTTCTTTAATTTCCTGTGAAGCATATATAAAATGTTTTACTTTTTATTTTAATTAAACTCACATAGCCATGAAATTCTGCCTGTCCATCAGGTTGAGGTCACTGATCGCCGAGCCCCGAATGAAACCACATGACTATTACCATGACTACGGGCTGACAAGGTTGATCTGGTTGGTCACATGGTTTCATTGAGATTCCTTCACTATTAAACCCTTTCTGCTCCTCCTAATGTAAACAATACCACTGCAGAATGCTAATAAAGTTATTCACATCAAATTAGTGTCTGGCTGCGTTTGTAGGGGTTTCACCACCCAAGCTGGAAGACCCGCTGGGAGGGCTTTGCAATAGTCGAGGCGAGAGATAACCATGGCCTGTACCAGAAGGTGGGTGGCATAATGAGTGAGGTAGAGCCTGATTGTTATTATGATACATAGAGCAAAGCGGCACGTCCAAGACACACCACCCTGGTTGGAGTGATGGTTGAGGAGTCAATTTGTAGTTTGATGTTGCGGTGAATAGATTGCTTGCCTGGAAGGACCAAGCGTTCAGTCTTATAGAGGTTTTGTTGAAGGTAGCAAGCCTTCATCCATGCAGATATGTCAGAGGATCCGCGCCGAGACCGTGGGGTCGTCTGGTGGGAAGGATATGTAGAGTTGCATATCGTCTGCGTAGCAGTGGTAAGAGAAGCCGTGAAAACGAATGATCGGCGCCAGTGAGGCGGTGTAATTTGAGAAGAGAAGAGGCCTTAGCACTGAGCCTTGGGGAATCCCTGTGGTGAGGCAGTGGGAATGCCCCAAGAGGTAGGATTTCAACCACAGGAATGCTTTGCCGAGATGCTCCTGGCTGAGAGTGCGGATAGCAGGATCATGTGGTTGACTGTGTCAAAGGCAGCTGATAAGTCAAGCAGGATAAGAACTGAGGATTGGGCTGCAACTTTAGCTGACCTTGGGGCTTTTGTTACAGACAACAGAGCCATTTCAGTAGAGTGGCCACTCTTAAAACCAGACTGATTGGGAGGTTATTTTGTCTGCCCGTTCGATAGCTTTGGGTAGAAATGGTAGAAGTGAGAAGCCTGGAGGAGATGTGTGATGTGTGATTGTGTGTCACAGTTTTATTCCAACCTTTTCCCACCCTCCTCTCTGTCTCTGCTAGGCCTACAGTAGCATCCTCCATCACAGCAATGGTCCTAGAAGACCAGGGGTGTCTGGCTGAACTGATTCCAGTAGCCTCTTAGTTCATGAACACAGTATAGGATGTGAACGCTGCAGCAGAATGTTTTCCTACACACTACCTCTCAACATTGAAATTCACATGAATACAAACAAGTAATAACAGCACAAAAGGTAACAGAATATGTACCTAGCAAAAAACTATGAAGAGTAACTGTAGCTATACTATGTATTAATACATTTATTTATTTTGCTGACGTTTTTATCCAAAGTGACTTACAATTGCTAATTATGTCAGAGGTCTCTGCCTCACGCCTCTGGAGCAACTAAGGGTTAAGTGTCTTGCTCAAGGACACATTGGTAGATGTGTCACAGTGGGGGATTGAACCCTGTTCTCTCACCATCACCACCCATAGCTATACGCTAATTTGTGTGTGGGTGTTTTTGTGTACCAACATAATTTCACGTATTTAAATGTTTAAATATGATTTCAAATGATGAATGATGTGAATTAAAATCAAAATACTAAAGTTGCAAGTGCATTCATGTGTGTGTCTTAAGGATATATGTGTCAGAGTTATCTGGGTGTGTTTGACACAGGTTCCTCCTATCCTAAGGGTTAATAATAATTAACCACAATATTAAGAAACTGGCAGCATCTGTGTCGAGGTGTGTCTCTCTCTCTGCTGTCTTACTGTCTCCACTGCACTTGACTCTGCTGCAGCTGAGCTGTCTGCACTGAGTTCAGCAACACTCTAGTTTTGAACAGATGAACATACAATTCAGACAAACTAGAACAAAAGCATGCTACTATTATAAAACCTCATATAGCTATTGCATATAAGTAAGTAATCCTGTAATAGAAGCCATCCTACCTATGGATTAATTACCTGCATATATTTACATTTTACTCATTTAGCTGACACTTTTATCCAAAGCGACTTACAATTCCTATACATGTCAGAGGTCGCACGCCTCTGGAGCAACGAGGGGTTAATATCTTGCTCAGGGACACAATGGTGGATGTCTCACAGTGGGAATTGAACCCAGGTCTCCCACACCAAAGACAAGCATCTTATCTATGCGCCATCACCATCATCATTCAATGTTTTATTTTATTAAAACATTGATATACAATGTATGACTAGGCTACTTGTGTACAGATGTCTGCAGGAGTGGATGGCTATTATAGGTTGTTTTTTAGAGAGCTAGAGCTAATTAGCAGAAAACCATTGTCAACCACTTATCCTGGAGCCAATCCCAGCTGACATTGGGCGAAAGGTGGGGTACACTCTGGACAGGTCGCCAGTCCATCGCAGGGCCACACATAGACAGACCACCACTCACACTCACACCTGAGGACACCAATCAACCTAGTAGGCCGCATGTCTTTGGATGGTGGGAGGAAGCCAGAGAACCTGGAGAGAACCCACGCAGACACTGGGAGAACATGCAAACTAAACACAGAAAGGCCCGGACGACTGGGGTTCAAACTCAGGACCTTCTTGCTGTGAGGCGACAGTGCTTACCACTAGGCCGCCGTGCTGTCCTCATAGCTACATAATAGTCTCTTGATTTAACGTTTCAACATTACTCAGAACATAAAGACAGAATAGCTGTACTGAAATGTTACTGCTGCGTTTTTTTCTGCTGTTGTTGCTGGAGTCGTCTGCTGCGTTGGCTGGAAAAAAAAGTACCAGATAACAGGAAGAAATTTTCCCCGATGGAAAACCAAAAATGGTGAGTAGAGTCGAGGCGAGTCGAGCTGGTACCATTCGGTGGAAAAGGGGCATATTATCAGTGGAACCCACCCTAATTCTCGCCTTTGAGGCTTTGAGACTTTCATTAAATGTGTAGGATGTTTCTGCAGCATTCTGCATGCAGCGGCACAATGACAATCTTCTCCCATTGTGTTACAACAGGGAAGCCTCACTCTGATGTTTCCCTCTGAGTTAGAAGTGTTTGTAGTCCTGGCTTCATTGTCAGAGGGTTCTCCGATGCTGGATCTCCTCCTCCTCCTTTTTGTTTTGTGAGCTGTTGTTGGTTTTTTGGACATTTCTTGAAAATCATAACAAAACTAAACAATCAGAGAGAAGAGTGAAAAACCTATTGCCAGTACAGTCGGGATGTTTCGAGCTGTAAAAGAGAGCAGAAATCAGCAGGTGAGACTGAACACCGAGGCAGCAACACATTCTCACTCCCGACTCGTCACATATTGATGCTTGGTCATAGCTCTTTGGCGTCGCTTTTACACGTTTAAGTCTCCATGGTCAACGCTTAGCAACAACAAATATGCAACGTCCGGTTAGACTTTCAAAATAAAACGCTAGCGTTGTTAAATATAATTGGTAAGTAAGTAAGTAAGTAACATTTATTTAATATAGCACCTTTCACAAAATAACAGTGATAATAAAAGCAACAATAAAACAGTGGAGCAATCTGACAATTATACATAAGCATCAAACATTATACAAGGCATAAATCAATATAATCAGTGTATTTGCGTATATTTAACATATTAAATGATCAAATTTAAGGTTTAGACAACTGAAGTACTTGGTTGAGGTCAGGAAAAGATCATGGTTTGGATTAAAATAACTACGTACATCAGTTTGCGTAAATATTAAAAAATATTTAACGTTGACTTTTTGTTTTACTCGGGACACAAACCCCGGTCTCTCGGTTCAAAGTCTGGGTTCTGGCCCTCCAACCACCTCCTAACTTTGTTCTGTTAAATATCATATACCTGCCTTTACCATCAAATACTGACGCTACAGGGCTTCCCCCACTGCCTTGAACTGAGGCGCTATAGGGATCCCAAGTGCGTTACAAACTGAGGCCGACGGGTTTTGACCATGTGTCCATATGTGACGAGTGGAGGAGTGAGAACGGGCTGGAGGCAGAAGTTTCTAGCACCGCACTGTGTTAGGAAGCATGGTTGTATAAAATAATTAGGAATGATGGAGAGTGTAGGAGCTCATACTTACATGACGTGCTGAAGGGAAACGTAGTATAGTATACAGTACTGACTGAGTATGTAGTACGCAGTATGTAGTACTGAGTATGTAGTACGTAGTATGTAGTACTGACTGAGGATGTAGTAGGCAGTATGCAGTACTGAGTATGTAGTACGTTGTATGCAGTACTGAGTATTTAGTAGGCAGTATGCAGTACTGAGTATGTAGTACGTTGTATGCAGTACTGAGTATTTAGTAGGCAGTATGCAGTACTAACTGAGTATGTAGTAGGCAGTATACAGTACTGACTGAGGATGTAGTAGGCAGTATGCAGTACTGAGTATGTAGTAGGCAGTATACAGTACTGACTGAGTATGTAGTAGGCAGTATGCAGTACTGAGTATGTAGTACGTAGTATGCAGTACTGAGTATGTAGTAGGCAGTATGCAGTACTAACTGAGGATGTAGTAGGCAGTATGCAGTACTGAGTATGTAGTATGCAGTATGCAGTACTGAGTATGTAGTACGTAGTATGCAGTACTGAGTATGTAGTAGGCAGTATGCAGTACTGAGTATGTAGTAGACAGAATGCAGTACTAACTGAGTATGTAGTAGGCAGTATGCAGTACTGAGTATGTAGTAGGCAGTATGCAGTACTAACTGAGTATGTAGTAGGCAGTATGCAGTACTGAGTATGTAGTAGGCAGTATGCAGTACTGAGTATGTAGTAGACAGAATGCAGTACTAACTGAGTATGTAGTAGACAGAATGCAGTACTAACTGAGTATGTAGTAGGCAGTATGCAGTACTGAGTATGTAGTACGCAGTATGCAGTACTGAGTATGTAGTAGGCAGTATGCAGTACTAACTGAGTATGTAGTAGGCAGTATGCAGTACTGAGTATGTAGTAGGCAGTATGCAGTGCTGAGTATGTAGAAGGCAGTATGCAGTACTGAGTATGTAGTACGCAGTATGCAGTACTGAGGATGTAGTAGGCAGTATGCAGTACTGAGTATGTAGTAGACAGAATGCAGTACTAACTGATTATGTAGTAGGCAGTATGCAGTACTGAGTATGTAGTAGGCAGTATGCAGTACTGAGTATGTAGTACGCAGTATGCAGTACTAACTGAGTATGTAGTAGGCAGTATGCAGTACTGAGTATGTAGTGGACAGAATGCAGTACTAACTGATTATGTAGTAGGCAGTATGCGGTACTGAGTATGTAGTATGCAGTATGCAGTACTGAGTATGTAGTAGGCAGTATGCAGTACTGAGGGTGTAGCAGGCAGTATGCAGTACTGAGTATGTAGCAGGCAGTATGCAGTACTGAGTATGTAGTACGCAGTAGGGCTGGGCGATATGGCCTAAAAATAAAATCTCTGATTTTATTTTTTTAATTCAATTTACGATTTTTTCCGATTTCCCCCCCTACTTAAGGAAAGCAATAAGTACAAACGACAGACTACTTAAAGCAAATTTTGCTTTTATTTAATCAAAAGCAAGACAAATGTAACCCCCATTTCTGGGATGAAGTAGCACCATTTTCTAAAGCATTAACATATATTAAAATCTGAGGAAAACTAGACAGTGACATTTTTCATTGTGTCTAGCCCAAACAATGCAACAACATACAGGGATACATGACATGAACATGCACATCTTACTCTTAGCAGAATTAAATTTTTCAAACCAAAAACAAAAAATATTCTCTTTTATTGCACTTTGCATAGAATTTTAAATAACAACCTAAAGAGGCAACACCTCTGTCTTGGGTAAAATAGTAATGTAAACAACGACCACATGTCGGTTGTTGCCGAATAAAAGGACAGCTCCCCCAGTTCTCTGCTGACTTTCTCTCGTGTAATGTTGTACAGCTTGGGCAAGGCGACTTCACTGAAGTACTTGCGGCTGGGTAGCTCATATCTGGGGTCTAACGTTTTAATCAAATTAATAAACCCCGTTTTTTACGGTATATATGGGTACCATGTCTTTGGCTATATGCAAAGCGACCGCTTCGGTGATTGTTCTCCACCGTGCCCCTTTCCTGTCATATGCGGTGCCTTGTGCAAAGGATTCGGCTACAGTTAGCTGTTTTTTAGCTCAGGTTTGTTGGTCAGTGCGGCTTTGTTCATCGCGGAGAGACTGGCATTTTTCATATTCGGCTGGATGTCTCTGTTTCAGGTGTTGGAATAGGTTTGTGGTGCTGCTGCCTTTCACTGCGATAGGCTTTAGGCAAATGTTGCAGCGTGGTGTCTGTTGTTCCACATCTGTTGCAGCAAACCCATACCAGTTCCAAACAACAGATGACTTTATTCCTTTCTTGGGAACAAACTTCCCGCTCTCACCGGTAGCCATTTTGTCGCTTGCTGTTGCTGTTTAGTGTATGATGTTGTCGCTATGGGAAACGAACACTACGGAAACCCCGGGGAGCCAAAAATGTGCTATTACACAAAAACTCGATTTACTTATTTTTTAAATCGCCCGCAACAAAAAATTCGAATTAATTCATTCAATCGATTTTTCGCCCAGGCCTAGTACGCAGTATGCAGTACTGAGTATGTAGTAGGCAGTATGCAGTACTGAGTATGTAGTACGCAGTATGCAGTACTGAGGATGTAGTAGGCAGTATGCAGTACTGAGTATGTAGTATGCAGTATGCAGTACTGAGTATGTAGTACGCATTATGCAGTACTGAGTATGTAGTACGCAGTATGCAGTACTGAGGATGTAGTATGCAGTATGCAGTACTGAGGATGTAGTAGGCAGTATGCAGTACTGAGTATGTAGTAGGCAGTATGCAGTACTGAGTATGTAGTACGCAGTATGCAGTACTGAGGATGTAGTAGGCAGTATGCAGTACTGAGTATGTAGTATGCAGTATGCAGTACTGAGTATGTAGTACGCATTATGCAGTACTGAGTATGTAGTACGCAGTATGCAGTACTGAGGATGTAGTATGCAGTATGCAGTACTGAGTATGTAGTAGGCAGTATGCAGTACTGAGTATGTAGTACGCAGTATGCAGTACTGAGGATGTAGTATGCAGTATGCAGTACTGAGTATGTAGTATGCAGTATGCAGTACTGAGTATGTAGTAGGCAGTATGCAGTACTGAGGATGTAGCAGGCAGTATGCAGTACTGAGTATGTAGCAGGCAGTATGCAGTACTGAGTATGTAGTACGCAGTATGCAGTACTGAGGATGTAGTACGCAGTATGCAGTACTGAGTATGTAGCAGGCAGTATGCAGTACTGAGTATGTAGTACGCAGTATGCAGTACTGAGTATGTAGTAGGCAGTATGCAGTACTGAGGGTGTAGTAGGCAGTATGCAGTACTGAGGATGTAGTACGCAGTATGCAGTACTGAGGGTGTAGTAGGCAGTATGCAGTACTGAGGATGTAGTACGCAGTATGTTAGTACTGAGTATGTAGTACGCAGTATGCAGTACTGAGTATGTAGTAGGCGGTATGCAGTACTGAGGATGTAGTACGCAGTATGTTAGTACTGAGTATGTAGTAGGCAGTATGCAGTACTGAGTATGTAGTAGACAGAATGCAGTACTGAGTATGTAGTACGCAGTATGCAGTACTGAGTATGTAGTAGACAGAATGCAGTACTGAGTATGTAGTACGCAGTATGCAGTACTGAGTATGTAGTACGCAGTATGCAGTACTGAGGATGTAATAGGCAGTATGCAGTACTGAGGATGTAGTAGGCAGTATGCAGTACTGAGGATGTAGTAGGCAGTATGCAGTACTGAGGATGTAGTAGGCAGTATGTTAGTACTGAGGATGTAGTACGCAGTATGTTAGTACTGAGTATGTAGTAGGCAGTATGCAGTACTGAGGATGTAGTAGGCAGTATGTTAGTACTGAGGATGTAGTAGGCAGTATGCAGTACTGAGGATGTAGTAGGCAGTATGCAGTACTGAGTATGTAGTACGCATTATGCAGTACTGAGGATGTAGTAGGCAGTATGCAGTACTGAGTATGTAGTGGACAGAATGCAGTACTAACTGATTATGTAGTAGGCAGTATGCAGTACTGAGTATGTAGTACGCAGTATGCAGTACTGAGGATGTAGCAGGCAGTATGCAGTACTGAGTATGTAGCAGGCAGTATGCAGTACTGAGTATGTAGTACGCAGTATGCAGTACTGAGTATGTAGTAGGCAGTATGCAGTACTGAGTATGTAGTACGCAGTATGCAGTACTGAGGATGTAGTAGGCAGTATGCAGTACTGAGTATGTAGTATGCAGTATGCAGTACTGAGTATGTAGTACGCATTATGCAGTCCTGAGGATGTAGTAGGCAGTATGCAGTACTGAGGATGTAGCAGGCAGTATGCAGTACTGAGTATGTAGTACGCAGTATGCAGTACTGAGGATGTAGTATGCAGTATGCAGTACTGAGTATGTAGTACGCAGTATGCAGTACTGAGGATGTAGTATGCAGTATGCAGTACTGAGGATGTAGTAGGCAGTATGTTAGTACTGAGGATGTAGTACGCAGTATGCAGTACTTAGGATGTAGTACGCAGTATGCAGTAATGAGGATGTAGTAGGCAGTATGTTAGTACTGAGGATGTGGTATGCAGTATGCAGTACTGAGGATGTGGTATGCAGTATGCAGTACTGAGGATGTAGTAGGCAGTATGTTAGTACTGAGGATGTAGTACGCAGTATGCAGTACTGAGGATGTAGTACGCAGTATGCAGTACTTAGTATGTAGTACGCAGTATGCAGTAGTGAGGATGTAGTAGGCAGTATGCAGTACTGAGGATGTAGTAGGCAGTATGCAGTACTGAGTATGTAGTAGGCAGTGTGCAGTACTGAGGATGTAGTAGGCAGTATGCAGTACTGAGGATGTAGTACGCAGTATGCAGTACTGAGGATGTAGTATGCAGTATGCAGTACTGAGTATGTAGCAGGCAGTATGCAGTACTGAGTATGTAGTACGCAGTATGCAGTACTGAGTATGTAGTAGGCAGTATGCAGTACTGAGGATGTAGTATGCAGTATGCAGTACTGAGTATGTAGTAGGCAGTATGCAGTACTGAGTATGTAGTACGCAGTATGCAGTACTGAGTATGTAGTAGGCAGTATGCAGTACTGAGGATGTAGTACGCAGTATGTTAGTACTGAGTATGTAGTACGCAGTATGCAGTACTGAGTATGTAGTACGCAGTATGCAGTACTGAGTATGTAGTAGGCGGTTTGCAGTACTGAGGATGTAGTACGCAGTATGTTAGTACTGAGTATGTAGTAGGCAGTATGCAGTACTGAGTATGTAGTAGACAGAATGCAGTACTGAGTATGTAGTACGCAGTATGCAGTACTGAGTATGTAGTAGACAGAATGCAGTACTGAGTATGTAGTACGCAGTATGCAGTACTGAGTATGTAGTAGACAGAAACAGTACTGAGTATGTAGTAGGCAGTATGCAGTACTGAGTATGTAGTAGGCAGTATGTTAGTACTGAGTATGTAGTAGGCAGTATGCAGTACTGAGTATGTAGTAGGCAGTATGCAGTACTGAGGATGTAGTAGGCAGTATGCAGTACTGAGTATGTAGTAGGCAGTATGCAGTACTGAGTATGTAGTAGGCAGTATGTTAGTACTGAGTATGTAGTAGGCAGTATGCAGTACTGAGTATGTAGTAGGCAGTATGTTAGTACTGAGTATGTAGTAGGCAGTATGCAGTACTGAGTATGTAGTAGGCAGTATGCAGTACTGAGGATGTAGTAGGCAGTATACAGTACTGAGTATGTAGTAGGCAGTATGCAGTACTGAGTATGTAGTAGGCAGTATGCAGTACTGACTATGTAGTAGGCAGTATGCAGTACTGAGTATGTAGAAGGCAGTATGCAGTACTGAGGATGTAGTAGGCAGTATGCAGTACTGAGTATGTAGTAGGCAGTATGCAGTACTGAGTATGTAGTACGCAGTATGCAGTACTGAGGATGTAGTAGGCAGTATGCAGTACTGAGTATGTAGTAGGCAGTATGTTAGTACTGAGTATGTAGTAGGCAGTATGCAGTACTGAGTATGTAGTAGGCAGTATGTTAGTACTGAGTATGTAGTACGCAGTATGCAGTACTGAGTATGTAGTAGGCAGTATGCAGTACTGAGTATGTAGTATGCAGTATGCAGTACTGAGGATGTAGTAGGCAGTATGCAGTACTGAGTATGTAGTACGCAGTATGCAGTACTGAGTATGTAGTAGGCAGTATGCAGTACTGAGGATGTAGTAGGCAGTATGCAGTACTGAGTATGTAGTACGCAGTATGCAGTACTGAGGATGTAGTAGGCAGTATGCAGTACTGAGTATGTAGTAGGCAGTATGCAGTACTGAGTATGTAGTATGCAGTATGCAGTACTGAGTATGTAGTAGGCAGTATGCAGTACTAAGTATGTAGTATGCAGTATGCAGTACTGAGTATGTAGTAGGCAGTATGCAGTACTGAGTATGTAGTAGGCAGTATGCAGTGCTGAGTATGTAGTAGTCAGTATGCAGTACTGAGTATGTAGTAGGCACCAACTCACCTGAGCCTGAAACCGTCAGCCTGATGATGCCGATGAGATCAGGTGTGTTTTTCTCTCCAACCCGACACTCGTATGTTCCAGAGTCGCTGACGATGACGTTCTTCAGAACAATAGAAGCGTCTCCGTCCTTCATCTGTGGATCTCTCAGCTCCACTCGACCCACGTAAGAGGAACGCTGGTAGTTCATGTGGAGACCGTCTCTGAGGAAGTAGACGAAGTAGTCGTCCTTCAGGTCCGATCTGCTCCACACTAACTGTGAGATGCAGGCTCCGCTGGGAGCCTGACAGCGAAGAGTGACGTCCTGTCCTGACGCCACTTTCACCTCCTGTGGGTCTGAACAGGAAGAAAACCAAGAATCACAAGTCTGATCCATAGTAGACAGGCTAGTATTAGTGGTATTAACAGACCTGCAAAAGCCCGTAACGTGCTCAGAATCCTGAAGTCTCAAAAGTAAATCTTTATGTCAATGAACACGTCAGCGCATCAAAATGACAAGTCCTCATGTCGTTGTTTACAACCAAGACAGTAAAATGTTGCCAATGTAACCGTGCACTCTCACAACTGAGGTTTCGATGACAAATTTCAGTACAACACATCAGTTTCACCAGTAGAAAGTATTCAGGATTCACAGTTACGCTGTTTCACAAAATGACAAAGTTAGAAGGATAAACATGGGAAACACCTGCTGAGGTTCCTGTCTGCCACAGATCCTCACAACAGACATGTAGAGAAAATCTGCTTGACAGATTATGACAGCTGTCCAGCCATTTTGCATGTTGTGACTTATGCAAGGAACAATTGGTTAGATGTTTCGGGGGGTCAGAAAGAGAACCAGTACTATACTTTGCGATCAGCATGACTGATCTGTGCAATGTACCAAAGCTACTGAAGAAAACTGTAACGTTGAAGAGAGATTTACTGAGGCAGCTTCTGCAGGAGGCCTGTTCAGTCTGTAGTAAAACTAAAACACAAACTGCACCAAGGTGTTTAAAATGCTTATGTTTATTTGTTTTTATTGCATATGCACGAGTTGGTTCAAGGCTTTGGTGTATGTCAACAGAACACCAGGATCTGGCCCAACCTTGATTAAAAACATTGTTTTGTACATATTCTTGATGCTTTTTTAGAGTTTTACATTTTGATGACTCACTCTGCTCTGCGGAAGCTTTCTCTTTCGTAATGATGAGAGATGTGCTTCCGGGGGGGGGGGGGATGGCAATGACTCAGTGATAAATGTACAACAACAAAAACACATCTTTATTAACTGATGTTGGTGAAACTGGATTATATTTGACAGAGAATAATATTTTCTGGTTTCCCCTCTGATGTCTCCTGCCTCAAAACGCAGAGATTTACTGCGACGATCGTAAAAGCGAGATCAGAGTTAGCTATAGCCGTTATATAAACAACGACTGATGCTTTTAGAAACAAAGAAGTCCAAAAGAACAGCGTTTACAAATGGATGGCTCTCCCAGAGCAATATTAGATTACTAATGCTGAGCTTATAGCCCTTTAAACGCCTATATCAAAGTGATCAGTGGACAGCCAGTATATAGCACCAACCCTACATCCTCTGTAGCACTCTAATACACTCACCTCCGAAGATGGACTCCAGAAACAACATAAAGCAGCATGTGAGAAAAGAGGTTTCCATGAAGGCTGCTGCGGTTGGTTCTGCTGTTCTAAGCATAACAGGAAGCGGCTGAAGAGCCTAGCTGTGGCGTATGAAGGCCGAACCGAAAATTGGTAAATAAGACTTTTTTATTTCTATTTTTTAAACATTTTATTGAAAATCAGGTTTCAGACATTCAGACATTCCAGCTTATAAACACAATATCAGACTTAATATAAAATAGTGCAATATATATATATATAACTTAACAATAAACTTAAATAAAAAATACATTAACAAAAACACACAGAACAAGACAGATTTAAGAGATGAGTAAGTGACAGACTGGTGACATAAGATATTTTTTAGAGGAATAGCTCTGAGTAGATATTATATATTGAAATGCTTTTCTTGATTGATATAGGTTTAAGAGACTCGAAGTACATATCTATTTCGATTAGGAGTACTTTAAAACATGGGGTAGACTCAGAGCATTTAGCTTTGTGAATCTGAAATTTCCCAAACAAAATAAAGAGATTCACAACGGTGCATAAGTTCTTATCTTTAGATTCAAAGTAGGTAATGACAGTTTTCCTTTCAACTGTGATTGTATGTGTTGTTTTAGAATATATGTAATTCTCAAAGTCCCTCCAGAATGTGCTACAGAATGAACAGTCATAGAAAAGATGATTTAAAGTTTCTTGTTCTGTTCTACAAAAGGTGCAGTTGTTATCAACAAGCATGAATTTTGAGATAAGCATGTTGTTTGGATATATTTTGTGCAAAATTTTCAAATGTAATTCTCTAACTTTCTTTGTAATACAGAATTTTGTTAGTGCATTTGCTGCTCAAAATATCAGTATTATTTATATAAAGAGTATATGTGAAACTGGGCACTTCTTGCTGTTTCTTATAGCTTTTCATTAATTCCAATAAACCATTGGGTAAAGATTTAAAGACTGAGCTATATTCTCTGAATGTTATTGGGAATGCTTTCTCTCTAAGAAAGGATTCAGACCGTTACAATACTGGTGATGCATTCATTATTCCATATAATAGACTTGTGTGGAGAGAAGTTATGAGAATAGCTTAATAACTTCCACTCTAAAAGAGCTTGCTGATAAAATCGGGACAGTTTTAACGGTAACTTTGTGATATTACAGTGACACTTTAACAAGAATTGGAGACCTCCAACTCCTTTGAAAATGTTATGTGGGATAAAGTATCATAATGAGTCGGGTGCATTTAAGTATTCTTTTAACCATTTAACTTTGAAGGTGTAGTTCAAGTCACAAAAGTCCAAAGTTCAAACCGCCTTCCTCCTTAGAGCCAGAGAGCAGCGCTTTTTTAAAGTGATGGTGCTTATTCTTCCATAGGAAGCTTATGAGTACGTTATTAATGTCTTTGCATGTTGAATCGTGGACACTGAGGGGGAGAGCAGGGTAGACAAATCTTGACATCCCTTCTGCTTTAGTCAGGAGGATTCTGCCCAGTATTGAAATGTCTCTTTGAAGCCATAAGTTCAGGATTGTTTTAGTCTTCTTCAATGTAGGAGAGAAGTTAAGTTGCTGATGTTCCATGTAGTCCTTGCAGATATTTTACACATTTCTTGACAGATATATTAAACAATTGTTTATCATCAGTTTGATATAAACATAAAATTTCACATTTAGATTTGTTGAGTGTTAATCCAGAAGCAGCAGGAAATTGGTCAATTAAGGATATAGCATATTCAATCTGATGTTTGGCCGTATCATCAGCTAACTGAGTCAATCTGATTTCTTTACCAAAAATAGACAAACCTTTAATAATGGGATTATGATGAATATGTAGTGACAGTAGTTCAACCACCAGCAGGAACAAAAAAGGTGAAATAGGGCAGCCCTGGCGAAGTACAGGAAATCTTTTGGTGGTATTTGGGTACAATATAACACAACTGTCAATATTTTTATAAAACATTTCTGAAGTGGATATAAATTTTGGTCCTAAATCAAATGTTTGGAGTGCTTTGAACAGGAAGCGGTGGTCTACAGGATCAAATGCTTTATAGAAATCGAGAAATACAATCAGTGCTTCGGTATTAATTTTATCAGAATAGTCCAGCAAGTCAAGAACAAGTCTTATATTTGAACTTATGTTTAGACATGAAACCTGTTTGTGTTTCATTTATGATCTCGTGAAGGCCTTTTTTTTAACCCCTTAGCAAAAATGAATGACAATATTTTATAATCAATGTGAGTTATAGGTCTCCAGTTTTCTATAAGTAAATGGTCTTTATCAGGTTTGGGGAGAAGGCATATTAAGCCTTGCTTCATACTTGTGGGCATTTCCTTTTTAGCAATACATTCTTTGAATAATTCAAGTAGAGGACTTTCAATGATGTCCCAAAAATGGAAATAAAATCCAACAGAAAGCCCATCATTACCTGGCGATTTCCCTTTTTCATTGACAAAACAGCTGCTGAAATTTCTATTTTTGCAATGGGCTGTTCACATTCCAGTTTAAAGTGTTCAGATATAGTTGGACTGAATTCTTTAACTGAATCAATACATTTATCACAATCATCGACTGAGTATTTGTCTTATATATTGCTATAAAATGAGCTAACATGTCTAGAGGTGTCCAAAGGATTAGAGGTCATGTTATCATTAATTTTAAGTTTCTTCATTCTTATTTCTTCATTTTATGAAAGTTTATCTTTAATCAATTAAGCATTTAATTCATCCATAATACATATTTCTTTGGCTATGTTATTTTTTTTAATTTCTTCACTTCGTTTTATTGCTATTACTCTGATTTTGTACTTGAAGTATTCCCATTTTTGCATGTGATTCCTTTCATAGTTATCAAATAGTTTTTTTGCAGTTTTTTCACCAGATCACAGAATCTTTCATCATATAATAATTTATTATTTAGTTTCCAATAACCACGTAAATGACTGTTTTGTTGTTTGGTTCCTGCTAAATGGATTGAGATTACTTTGTGATCAGAAAGTCGGGCATAACTATGAGCTGATTCTGAAACAAACTGTAGACAAGAGGGAGATATAAGCCATAAATCAATTCTAGATTGTAGGGATCTATTGGCATTACTCCAAGTAAACTCATTAATGTCTGGGTTTAAAAAGCAAATTGACAGCTGACAAATAAATGCAGTACTTTTGAATCTTGAATGTGAGATTAGTCTTGCAGGTATTCTATCTACAAGATCAACTGGAGCATCATTAATCTCCCCCAATGATCAAGTGTGCTTCCTCATATTTGATTATAAGGGCTTTCAGATTGTGCAGACTGTTAGGAGCATGCTTTTGCTTTTGCTTGACCTGTATCGTTGTAGTTATATAAATTGCAACTATAAAAAAGGAATTGTCTAATTTGAAAACTAAGATTATCCATCTACCTTCTTCTGACATCAAGGATTCAACTATGTCTCCTTAAAACATTGTTAAGGAGAACGGCGACACCTGCTGATTGTTGAGTGGAATGGCAGAAATAACATTGTGCTTTCCAAAACTTCACACCACAGTCTACTGAGTGTGTCTCTTGTAAAAATATCAAGTCTGCATCTGAACATAAAAATACATTTTCTTTTGGTGCTGTCACGGATACCTCTGACATTAGAGATATTATTTTTAAAGAACTAAAATAGAACATAAGAACATAACAAAATAGAAAAATGAAACTATTAACTGGAAGTCTGTTAAAGGTTGTAGGAATTAGTTAAGGAAAAGACAAAATCTTAAGACAGAGAATATCAGGTAAATTAGCTTACCACCAAGTTGAATACTCTGAACACGAGTAGCTAAAATATTTAGTGGGATGAACGTGTTGCTCTGTTAAATTGTAAACAGGGAAAAGGCTAATTAACCCATTGAGACGGGGAGACCTAATAAGCCTGGAGTGAAATTTGAACTGCTGAACTCACATTAACTGCTGTAACGCTCTGAGTCTTCTTGTTTCTTCCTCAGGGCTGCAATCTGTTCTTTCATCGTCTTCACTGTGTCATCTGTTCCTTTCCATTGGATTTGCAGCCCTTTCATATCTTCTTGCACTCTCAGCTGTATTTTTGATGACCATTTCTTCAAAACTTTGAAAAGAGATCATTTAGGCCGTTAATGGCTTTAAGAATGTCAGCGTTGGAGACCGTCTCATGTTCTTTGGTGCAGACTTTCTTGGGGTTTGGGCTGTCCGTGGGCGTGACGGGTAGAGGTGCACATAAACCAGAGAATGATTTTTCAGGAGACACATCCATTATCAAGCCTCCTTTTTTCACATTCTTGGCGTCTCTCTTGGACATCTTGGCCTATTAGCAAAACTTCTTAAAGTCTTCGTTCCGGCTTTGTTTAGCTGTGTAGGCGTTCTACATACAAACTTAAATACAAAAGCAACTTACAGCTACTTCACACAGGATTCAAATGGTCTCATTGACTTATTTAACCGCAGGTACTCGGACAGAGACTCTCGCTCACTCTCGTAGGACCCTGGCCAGGTAAATACGAGGGAAACGTTACATTTTACATGTATTTAGGTACTATAGGCTTCCTAAAGCTAACAGTGATGTTAACCTCAGATAACGTAGTTTATGGCTACTGCCATTTCACTTTAACAACATCATTTCATATTTAAAGAAAACCTAACCGTACTTAAATATTAAAATATTGACAGTGTTTTTGTCATTGATCAGCTAAAGCAAGTTGAATAGAAAGATATACAAGCCTTATCTAACTAAGCTCTCTGCACTTCATAACAGTTGTTCTTCTCCTTGTATCCCTACACCAGCCCCGGCCCCTGTACTGCAGGATAAATTTGAGAGTTCCTGTGCTGGACAGGTTTTTTAACCTGCAGGACACACGGCCGGATTTCCGGTTGAGCAGGGAGGCCCTGGGAGTGCTACTGGGCCTCCTAAACCAGGAATGGAGACATGGATGGGGTGCCACGATTGAGACCCTGGTGTTTCTCTTCTGGCTGGCAAGCGGGGCATCATACAGGTGGTCTCCAGAGTGTTTGCAACGCCTCGATCCACTGTCCACCGCATCGTCCACAGAGTCACTGAGGAGGTGGTGGCCATTCGCCACAAGGTCATCCACCTACCGAAGACCCAGGTTGAGTTACAACCAATATCCCGTGGGTTTGCAGGGCTGGCAAGACACAGAGCCTTTTTTAAAGCAGCTGGAGCAATCGACGGCTGCCACGTCCGCATCAAGCCACCGAGCGGCCCTGATGGTCAGTGCTACAGGAACAGGAAACTGTTTCCATCCATCATCCTGCAGGCTGTCTGTGACCATCAGGGCCGCTTCATTGACACCTACGATACGACCCAGGCCGGCCCACGACTCCAGAGTGCTCCGCTACAGCCCACCGTACAGGAGTTCACTCTACCCTCCTCCACCTCCTCCAGGGCACTTCATCCTAGCATTACTCCCCGTCATCGCTCCCTACAAGAGGCAAGACAAGGTGTGGGAGCCCAGCGCTTCAACAGCCATCACTCCAGGGCACGCTCCATTATAGAGCGTGCTTTTGGGATGATGAAGAATTTTAAAATTATACTAATGAGTAAATCAACAGACTGATTCATCAAAACCATAAAAAAGAATTTTTGGACTGAAATATATTTTTATGCATTTCAGGTCACAACAGCATGTTCCACCCTCCACAACATCTGCCTTGGTGCTGGTGACATTGTGGCCCCAGAGGATGAGCCTGAGGAGGACGAGGCAGAGGATGAGGGGGAGAACGGTTTGGAGACGGTCAGCGGTGCTCCCTGGTGTCTGCCCTGGAGGAGGTGCTCCAACAGGCAGGGAAAAGGTCAGTAAATTCCTATTCATATCCTAACAATTTTGCCTGTTGAAATATTTTGTGGAGATTTATTTTGTCAAAATAAGATTGTGAATTAGTATTTTGTGTGCACAGCTTATTATTCTTGCCTCTTACTAAAACATCTTAGTGAAATGGCAGCCCATCCAGGTCCAGCAGCATCACCAGGGTCTGTCAGTGGAATAAATGTTGTAAATACTAATATTTATATACTTTATTTAACAAATATTTTATTTGAATTGATTAATAAATATTGTATATATTATTATTTAACTGCAACCTCATGTCTTCCTTCAGTAGCTGAAGCAGCTCCTCCTCTCTGTCCCTCTTTCTCTTTCTCGGCAGGCTCTCCTCCTCCTCCTCCTCCTCCTCCTCCTCCTCCTCCTCCTGGTCACCCACTGCAGTACTTGGCCCTGGTGTGTCTTTGGGGATAGAGGCAATTACGACAGATGGGGTGGTGGAATGCCTCTATCCCAACACCTCATCCATGAGGACAAACCAGGGCCAAGTTGCAGCAGTGGGCTTCCCCCCTACACCCTCTCCTGACCCTGGACACTTGCAATCCTAAGGCACAGGAAATCAATCATGGTAAATAACAACAGCAGAAAAACAAATTTCAGCAACAGTCTTTATTACCATTTAGTACCACAGTGTGACCCTCACCAGCAAATAACAATATAAGTTTAGTTAATAAAATTATAAACATCACAACGTGAAAACATCGACATGTTTAAGGTTCCTGATCAGGCAGATGCTCTCACCTACAGACACAAATACATTTACATAAACAGAAAGATCAGGCCACATGCAGAGAAAGAGTGAAAACATTTAAAGGTGACGCTGTGTTGACCTGTTGAGCTCGTCGTGGGTTCCTCCAACAGAAGCTCCTGCAGCAACGTTAATGTTAGCGCTTGTCAGGAGGACGTCTGAAGCTTTAACTTTGGGAAGAAGGACTTTCAGGGGGTTCAATCTCTGGTATAATTTGTCTTATAACTGTAAACACAGAAAAGGTGCCTAAAGGTGTAAACACACTTCACTCCAACCAAAGATGACACATATGAGTGTTTTAACGTAACGTTTAGCCTACTTGGTTTCACGTGTCCTCCTGAGTGAAAGTCCAGTTTGACCCTTCCATCCTCCCATACTTCCCATACCTCCCATTATGCAGACTTCCTCTCTTTTTACAAAACAGCTTCCTCCTGTATTACTGCTTTGTGGTCACTAGAGGTCGCTGCCTCAATAAACATTTAGATGGGTCATACTACCTGCCTCAGGACGGTCTGTCCTTCACTGTTAAACCCTTTCTGCTCCTCCTGATGTGAATGACGCCAGTGGAGAATGTTAATAAAGTTGTTTTTTAAATCATCATGTAATCAACATCTGGAAATCAGTGTCTGTCTGTGACCAGCAGGTGGCGCTAAACACAAGTCCCTAAATATATTTACTCAAGCACTGCATTAAATTACAGTTGTGAAGTACTTGTACGTTAGTGAGTGAGTATTTCCATTTTGTTATCTACAGTGGGGAGAACAAGTATTTGATACACTGCTGATTTTGCAGGTTTTCCTACTTCCAAAGCATGTAGAGGTCTGTTATTTTTACCATAGCTACACTTCAACTGTGAGAGACGCAATCTAAAACAAAAATCCAGAAAATCACATTGTATGATTTTTAAATTATTCATTTGCATTTATTGCATGACATAAGTATTTGATACAACAGAAAAGCAGAACTTAATCTTTGTTTGCAATTACAGAGATCATACGTTTCCTCGAGTTCTTGACCAGGTTTGCACACACTGCAGCAGGGATTTTGACCCACTCCTCCATACAGACCTCCAGATCCTGGGGATCCTAGGGCTGTCGTTGGGCAATACGGACTTTCAGCTCCCTTCAAAAATCTTCTATTGGGTTCAGGTCTGGAGACTGGCTAGGTCACTCCAGGACCTTGAGATGCTTCTTACGGAGCCACTCCTTAGTTGCCCTGGCTGTGTGTTTCGGGTCGTTGTCATGCTGGAAGACCCAGCCTCGACCCATCTTCAATGCTCTTACTGAGGGAAGGAGGTAGTTGGCCAAGATCTCGCGATACATGGCCCCATCCATCCTCCCCTCAATACGGTGCAGTCGTCCTAATCCCCTTTGCAGAAAAGCATCCCCAAAGAATGATGTTTCCACCTCCGTGCTTCACGGTTGGGATGGTGTTCTTGGGGTTGTACTCATCCTTCTTCTTCCTCCAAACACGATGAGTTTAGACCATAAAGCTCTATTTCTGTCTCATCAGACCACATGACCTTCTCCCATTCCTCCTCTGGATCATCCAGATGGTCATTGGCAAACTTCAGACGGGCCTGGACATGCGCTGACTTGAACAAGGTGCGCTGCAGGATTTTAACCCATGACGGCGTAGTGTGCTACTAATGGTTCTTTGAGACTGCGGTCCCAGCTCTCTTCAGGTCATTGACCATGCAGTTCTGGGGCAGTTCAGGAGGTAGAGCGGTTGCCGGTTAATTGGAAAGTCAGTGGTTCAATCCCTGGCTCCTCCGGGCTGCATGTTGAAGTGTCCTTCGGCAAGATACTGAACCCTGAATTGTGAATGTTAGTTTCTGTTTGAGCACTTATTTTATTTTTCTGGTCTGATCCCTCACCTTCCTCATGATCACTGATGCCCCACGAGATGACCTCTTGCATGGAGCACCAGACGGAGGGAGATTGACCGTCATCTTTAACTTCTTCCATTTTCTAATAATTGTGCCTTCTCACCAAGCTGCTTGCCTATTTTCCTTTCCAGCCTTGTGCAGGTCTACAATTTTATCCCTGATGTCCTTACACACACTCTGGTCTTGGCCATTGTGGAGAGGTTGGAGTCTGTTTGTTTGATTGAGTGTGGACAGGTGTCTTTTATACAGGCAACGAGTTCAAACAGGTGCAGTTAATACAGGTAATGAGTGGAGAACAGGAGGCTTCTTAAAGAAGAACTAACAGGTCTGTGAGTCTGTGAATTCTTACTGGTTACTTATGTCATGCAATAATTAATAATAATCATTTAAAAATCATACAATGTGATTTTCTGGATTTTTGTTTTAGATTGCGTCTCTCACAGTTGAAGTGTAGCTATGATAAAAATGACAGACCTCTACATGCTTTGTAAGTAGGAAAACCTGCAAAATCAGCAATGTATCAAATACTTGTTCTCCCCACTGTATATGTATTTCTACTCCAACACATCTCAGAGGCAAATGTACTTTTTACTGAACTATATTTACTTTTCAGATTCAGATTGACATGAAAATTAATTAAATTTAACCAGTGGTTTCCAAACACTTTGGGTTGTGTCTGTTGTTGCGTTTTGAGACGTAGAAACACAACATCCTTTGGAGGGGCCAGACTAGGGGCCACATCCCATAAATTATGTAAAGAAACCCTGTAACTAAAATAATTAAATCAGACAGTTGTTTAACTTTTAACAGTATTACAGCACATTTATTATACACATTGTACACTAATACATGTATAATATACACATGTACACTGTAAATACATGTATAAATATATACATGTACACTAAATACATGTATAATATACACATGTACACTGTAAATACATGTATAAATATACACATGTACACTAAATACATGTATAAATATACACATGTACACTGTAAATACATGTATAAATATACACATGTACACTAAATACATGTATAAATATACACATGTACACTGCAAATACATGTATAAATATAAACATGTACACTGTATATACATGTATAATATACACATGTACACTAAATACATGTATAAATATACACATGTACACTGCAAATACATGTATAAATATAAACATGTACACTGTATATACATGTATAAATATACACATGTACACTAAATACATGTATAAATATACACATGTACACTGCAAATACATGTATAAATATAAACATGTACACTGTATATACATGTATAAATATACACATGTACACTAAATACATGTATAAATATACACATGTACACTGCAAATACATGTATAAATATAAACATGTACACTGTATATACATGTATAAATATATTCTACATATTCACAGCCACGTGAATCTTCACCTCATGCAGGGGGAGCACCTTTAAACAACAGCGCTCCTCCCTGAGCTTTCGGTCGTCTGAATTGCTCTTCGTCTGACTCGTCACCTGGGACCAAGCTGTCGTGGGAAACCCTACGAGGAGCTGAGAGCTCCGGACAGAACAGCTCCCAGGATCATGTGAGCACACAAACCCCTCCACCACGATAAGGTGGCAACTCACGGAGGGGATAGTTTTTATACACATATCTGTAATATATCATCTTTAGATATTACACATATGTATATGTGATCAATTGTTAATTATTATTTTTTAAGGCAAAGATTCCAGGAACAACATTATTGTAATATGAAACAGCGAAACAATCCTAAAACTAACCCAGATAACACAAGTGAAAAAGTACATGAGTTAATGAGCTTTTCCTTTCAAACCCAGTAAACAGTAAAAAATACACCAGCACAATATTAAAATGTTAATCTAAATGTCCAGACATTACGCATTATGCCAAATATCATAAAAGTTCTTTACTATGGGCAACACCTGAGCTTTTCAGTGCTTCACCAAACAACGCGGTGTCAAGAGCCACAAAGCTAGTTATTCCAAAACAAGAACCTTGTGTTCCACGCAACTTCTCATTAGGAAATATTATACGTATTAAACAAATGTGGTGGATTGGAAGCTTCCCAGTACAACCACAGTCTGATCTGCTGGCCACTGAGCAGCTCCACTGGAGCGGTTGGGGTTAAGGGCCTTGCTCAAGGGCCCCTCAGTCGGGGTAAATAAGGGTGCATAATATACATATATACACACTCTGTCTATTGTCCAGAGTTTCACTGTGACTCCTCAGAGTCTTGGTCACAATCTGACCTGTTCACTGGATCCGTTTGGATTCCACGGCCCTCTTTTGTCCTTTAAAGACAAAACAGAATGGCAACAACCATCACGACTACTGACAAACTTGCTGTCAGTCCAACATGTGTGTTTCTTCCATCAGGGTTTCCTTTGTCCTTGTTTCCTTGGTCCTTGTTTCCTTGGTCCTTGTTTCCTCCAGCTGAGATGTTTCCAGCTGTGAGAGAGCAGAAACAGGTTCAAGGTATCAGCTGTCAGCTGTACGTGATGACTGAAGAACAGAACAGAATCTATTTCTCATAATCTCCTGTCAGACATGATCTACTGCACTTCGGTCACATGACTTAAATCGCAACAATAACTTCTAACAACCTCAAACACGTTCTGCATCTGATTCTCTACAAACTCACCTGAGCCTGAAACCGTCAGCCTGATGATGCCGATGAGTTCAGGTTTGTTTTTCTTCCCAACCCGACACTCGTATGTTCCAGAGTCGTTGACGGTGACGTTCTTCAGAACAACAGAAGCGTCTCCGTCCTTCATGTCTGGATCTCTCAGCTCCACTCGACCCACGTAAGAAGGATGCTGGTAGTTCATGTGGAGACCGTCTCTGAGGAAGAAGACGTAGCCATCAGCCTTCAGGTCCGGTCTGCTCCACGCTATCAGTGAGATGGGACCACCTGTGGGAGCCTTACAGAGAAGAGAGACGTCCTGTCCAGGTTTCACTGTCCCCTCCTGTGGGTCTGAACACAAACAGAGAAAACAAAGTTTAACTGCTGAAGAGGCCGTTTGGACACGTTCTACACATTGTTGGTGGTGAGATCACCTGCGTAGACTAAAGTATCAGAAAGTTTCCTTTAAAGTGAATTTTTATCTTATTTTTATCTTCTTTTCTCCTAAAGAAGATATTCATGACTGATTTATTCTTTTATAAATCAAAAATATGAACCACATTGTTTTAAAATGTTCCTTATCTGAAGTAGTGTTGATGTTCGAGTGTCGCCATCTCACTGCGTCCTGAACTCATCTGCTGACGTTGCACTTTAAGTTGTAGGAAATTTAGATCGTTTGTTGAGTAACTTGTCTGTTGGTCAGTTTGATAGAGGGCGGTTACAGGACAAGTGTTTCCTGCTGCTTTTTAAGGGAACTGGATGTGACTCAGACTCTCTGAGTTCTTCTTCTATCTGTTTTTGTAGCGTTCTGTTAGCGTCTGGCTAACTTTTCTCCCACAATGCATTCTGAACTTACGTCATCGGCTCGTCAGAATCTAAGATGCCGTATTTGTACTTACACAGCCATGTGTAAAGCTTTTACAAAATTGCCTTTACACAATGCCCACCATTTCATGACTTTGCCGCCATTTCATGACTTTGCCGCCATTTCAGGCTTTAGACAATGCTCGCCATTTCATCACTTTTCCCGCCATAAGGGTTTTTCTCCTCAGGCTCTGAGGATAAAGTGTCACATACAAAAATGTGATGCTCGTGAGAGAAAGTTTGTGAAATCAAGCTGTATAAATAGTTTACCGGACGTTACATTGCATCACATCCCCTGCACATGGCAACCGGTCGGAGCTTAAAGTCTTAAAGTCAGCGCTGCAAGAAATGAACCATAAAGACATGACGGAAGAAACTAAACCAGCAAACAAGCATTAACGCACAGATAAGCACACAAATGCACACATCTCATCCATAATATCCATTGCATCATCATAGCCGAACAGTTTTAAAGGATAAACAGATTGACAGATTGGTGCTCACCTCCACAGGCACGAACCAGCATTAAGATAATGAAGATAAAAACTATGAATACTGAAGCTGCCATGACAGACTGACTGCTGCTGACTGCTCTCCTGTCTTATTAGTCATGTCAACCAATCAGCAGAGGGGGCGGGGGGGGTGACATTTGACTACTAACTGAAAAACAGGCTCCACCATCAACCACCAATTCACAACAATTCTCATGTCACTTTTCATACGGAGCGGCTCAGAGACCTAACAATTCCCACCATGAGCAGCCATACAGTCGAGGAAAAACTTCCTTTTAAAGGTCCAGTGTGTAAAGTTTCTGAGGCTCTATTGACAGAAATGCAATATAAGATCCTTAACTATGTTTCAGTGGTTTATAAAGACCTTACAAGATGTTGTGTTTTTATTACCTTAGAATGAGACTTTTCTATCTACAGTCCTCTTACAGGGAAGTTCTGCAGTAGCAGTAGCAGTAGCAGTAGTAGTAGTCGTAGTAATAGTTGTAGTAGCAGTAGTAGTAGTAGTCGTAGTAATAGTTGTAGTAGCAGTAGCAGTAGTAGTAGTAGCAGTAGTAGTAGTAGCAGTAGTAGTAGTAGCAGTAGTAATAGTTGTAGTAGCAGCAGTAGTAGCAGTAGTAGTAGTCGTAGTAATAGTTGTAGTAGCAGTAGTAATAGTTGTAGTAGCAGCAGTAGTAGCAGTAGTAGTAGTCGTAGTAATAGTTGTAGTAGCAGTAGTAGTAGTAGTCGTAGTAATAGTTGTAGTAGCAGTAGCAGTAGTAGTAGTCGTAGTAATAGTTGTAGTAGCAGTAGTAGTAGTAGTCGTAGTAATAGTTGTAGTAGCAGTAGTAGTAGCAGCAGCAGTAGTAGTAGTAGTAGTAATAGTTGTAGTAGCAGTAGCAGTAGTAGTAGTAATAGTTGTAGTAGCAGCAGTAGTAGCAGTAGTAGTAGTCGTAGTAATAGTTGTAGTAGCAGTAGTAGTAGTAGTCGTAGTAATAGTTGTAGT